CCACATATGTTAAAATATGCAAATTCACATCTGAGAGTCCGGATCTGCCTGATTCTGTGCTATTTCCTCTACCTCGTGCAACTTTTTCCTTATTCTTTCTGACATTGAATGCCACTGATAAAAGCAGCCAACCAAATGTTTTATTTCCCGTCTCGGGAGCTCTGCCCACAGGGAACTGAAGCCCGCTGGTAAGTGTGATTCTCAAGGCCATATAAGTATCGGTATCTAAAGAGCACTTCACTAGCCACACTTGAGCTCTCCCCTTCTGCACCCTCCCACAGGCATAGCTATATTTATTATTTTTACATTTCTACCCCTGGTTATCTTAAAATTCAAACACACTCTATGCTGTTTAACTTTAAAATAAAAGATCTGAATGAAAGAAGATTTAAGATATCAAAGAAAACAAAGATATCCCAGATGAGAAAGAATCAGATCTGAAGATCTAAAAAGAAAAATATATTAGTATCAGAGATTGTTCTCAATACCTTCACATGGGTCAGTCGGTACAGCCATTCGCTAAACTGTCAGTTAAATCAATATTAAATCTTAATTTACTTAAAGTACTTTGTATTATTATTTAAATACTTCTCCCCCACCAGGGTAATAGAATTTATGGACACAATAAAGTATTATCTTTGAAAAGCTCATTAAAGGAGCCAGTTGCTTAAAAATCTCAGTTGGTTAATGGTCAAAGGATGCCTTAGACCTGCAAACCAGGCATTAAAAACATTTAAAAATACACATTACTTTCAGCTTTATACAAAAGTGGAATTCTATGTTCTAATCTGTGGTTATTATTTCTGTAAATTAACTGTCATAACTTTATGCAGTTGGTGTACAAAGGAATTAAATCTAACATTTACTGCTCACGGTATCATGCAGTCAGGTTAACGCCTATCTTATGAACACATGGAATTAATTATTATCCATCAGTAAAAAGAACCCTGCACAAATATGGAAGATGCTATAATATTAATACCTTTATAGAAACAGTGATTGTTTACACTATGCACATTTACACTACAGCTTACACTACGCACATTTCTGCTACACTGATGTCCTTACACAGAGTACATGAGAAAATATCTTCGAAAGCATTCGAGAGATTCCCTGCTAAAGAATTCTTTTACTTACCATCCTTTAATTTTTTTTGAAAGATGATGTTTCTTGTATAAGAGAACTTTTATGGGAACCCAAATCAATAGACTCACTGAAGCCACATAGGCAATTGAACAGGAAACTATCAGCCAATAATGAGTTTTCTCTCCTGGATTCCTTGACCTTTGATAGGCAGTGGCGAACTGTTCCACAATCACGAGCGTGGGGATGGAGAAAGCAGCAAACTCGAGAAGCTCGAACACCAGGAGCTTGATGAGTCTTCCGGAAGCCATCTCCAGGCAGTGCGAGCAGCCGCGGGCCCAGCACTCCCCCGCTGACAGTGAGCAGCATATGGACACTCAGATATGAACCAGGATCAAGTTCCTTGTACTCGAATCACTAACCAGTGACTTTATTCTTTTATTGACCCTCCTATGGTCCAGTGATCTTTCAACTTAACAACCGAGGTCTCTTAAAGAAACAGAGCAGCTGTGGAAGTGATCACCTCGTGTGTTTGCACATCTGTTATTAGAAGTCAGGTGGACTTCAGAGCATGCTGTGAAGCACTGTGAAAAAGAGGCATCTTCATGGAGCTTTTACTGCTCAGTTGGACACAGAAACAGTTTCTGTAACATTTAACCCTTGTGAAGTAGAATCATCAGAAGAATATAACTTTACAGTTAAAGGGGAATCCAATCCCCTATATCTCTATCTAAGCAAATTCAGGCAAAGCAAAATACCTAAAACCTGAGTCTTCATCTTGGAAAACGACACCTCATTTTTCTTCAGTGTGCTTGCAAAGCGAGTTTGGATTTATTCTGCTAACTTTCTAACCAGACTTCTTCCTGGTACTTCTATTGTTTATTTGTTCTTACACACTAATCGCTATGTATTTATTTTTATACCTTGTTGTTATTTTGCTGGTCAGGAAGCTAACATGGCAATATAAACCTATTATCGGGATCAACACGAAGTTAAGAGCTATTTACATCTAGCCCAAAAGCACATCACATGCTTAAAATACAATTGTTTCCCTGAATATCCTTGCGTAGCCCCTGTGACGAGCACTTTGCTAGGTGCGGGGGTGTGAGGATGAATGAGTGACAGAGGTTCCTGCCCTGAAAATCCCTGAGCAACAAAAAGTAACTGAGGTCAGAATCATAACCTAAATGCTACGGTAACACAGCAGAGAGCTTCCTCTTTGAGCTGTGGGAAGGGGAGGGAATGAGAAGGGCAGGGAGGATGGGTGGCAGGTGTTGGGTGGTAAGAAGCAAGGAGACTGGAATGGGTTACAGAGGCCAGTGTGGCGGCAGGAAACGGGAAGGTGATGTTAGAAAAGTCAGCGGGGGTCAGAACGTAAATGTCCCATAAAGGATTGTGTGTGTGTGTGTGTGTGTGTGTGTGTGTGTGTGTGTGTGTAGGCAATTGTCTCTGAAGAGGAGTCACTGAATCACCTGGAAAGGGGAGGGAGTGCAGGTGTGGAGGAAGGGCGGGAGCGACACTAATCTGGAGGCAGGAAGCCAGCTGGGAGCAGAGGAGGAGGAGCCCGGCTGCTGAGAAGAGCGCTGCACCACAGACACGCACTCGAATCCTCCCACATGCTTGCTCTTCAGACGGCCCTGTGTGCCTGCTGTCAGGCTGGTGCAGCCGATATTCCTCTGGGCTCCTCTGTCCAAGGCCCTTCGCAGAAGGGGCCCCGCACTGCCTGGCTGTCCGGATGGACCGGGCTCTGGTGGTGGCGCTGAGGAGTAGCACCTGCTGCCCTCCCACTGAGGACTGGTCAGCCAGTGCCTCAAGCTATCTAGTATTTTATTTGAACTTGAGGTTTGAATTCCCTGTCGTTTGGCAGAGGTCCTCTCAAAGGAAAGAAGAGATGTGGAAGAATGGTGGCAAGGATATGGAAGGATGGGGCAGGAAGACGTCTGAGCAGCAGTTCTGTGGCCAACTATTTCCAATATCATGTAACTGACATTAATTCTCTATAACATCCCTAACAAATATGCTTTTTAAAAGATGCTAGTTACAGTGGCTGGGGCGTGGGCCCCCAAACTGAAGGGTTGCAGGTCCCTCACTGACCCAATCCAGGAGCCTGTGGAAGATACCAATTGATGTGTCTCTTTCACATCTCTCTCTCTCTCTCTCTCTCTCTCTCTTCCTCCTTTTCTCCCTTCCTTCCTTCCTTCTACTCTCTCTAAAAATCAATGGAAAAAAATATCCTCAGGTGAGGATTAACATAAAAATAAATACATCTAGTTACAAATTATGTTAACCTACTAAACCTCTGTCTTGAGTCATCAATGCTATATTGTATTACAATTTCTTATACACACTTTATGTATTAATAGGAATTGTGACCTGATCATTGAAGACAGTTGCTGAATAAAAATATCCTGGCTTCAGGGAAAAGAAACCTTGCCCAGGTCTGTAATTACATACTAAATGCTTACATTTTATTTCCATGTAAGGGAATTAACAGTGACACTCACTTTATATTTCTTACCTATAAATCCTCCTCTGGTTCCTGATCTCTCTCCACCTTTATCTTCAAAGACCACCCAAGAGTGTGAGCATTCCTGTGATGGGATCTGCTGCTCTCCACCACGCGGGGTGCTGTGAAAACTAGCTGTGCTTTCTGAGTGGGAGAGAGGTTTGAATCTCCCCCACTGGCCACCATGAGCCCAACTCCATGTAAAGGGAAGATTTGTTAACATTGTTCTTTGAAAACTAATGGTGTGCAGGTCATGGCAGCCACACAGTTAGTACTGACTGCCACTCCGCGTGGGGAGATGACACGAACGCACAGGTAAGGCCTGAGAACATCTACCGAGGGAGCGGGCAGGTTAGGCCTGTGAAGGGCTTTCTGCAGCCACATGAGGATGAACAGGCGCTGGGCCACAGGATGTCTGGAATCTAAGTACGGCCTGGCATAAACTGGGCCAATCGCTTTCCCTTAGGAATTTGAACTAAGAAACACGGGGAGAATTTAATAAGTGGAATTAAAAGAGGCCATGACTTTCATCGAGTCAGGATTAGAACAGCCCAAACTATATGTGCTAGAACCACTTCCAGCATGCCAATGACACTTGGTAACTACTTGCTGACTGAATGAATGAAGCAATGAATGAATGAATGAATGAACAAGTGGAAGCCAAATGGTGAGGGAATAGAAGAGTGAGTAGACAGAGAGACAACTGGAACAAATCAACAGGGAGATGCAAGAAAGACCAGTCCCTCAGTTGAACTTTCCAGCTCACATGCATTCTTACAAAACGTGGACTTTGCTCTTTGCAACCAAAAGAGCTTCAGTATAAGACAAAAGAGTATGTTTACAAGCAGGGGGCAGATATCATATGGAAACTATATGCAAAACTACTGATGATTCAGAGGAGAGGACTGACCAAAAACATCCAAATACAGTTGATCAGAGAAGGCCTCTGGCGGAGGGGACTTTTGACCTATTTGATTTTCCTATGGACTCAAAGCAATATCTACATATTGTACAGCATTTCTCTGTATCAGATGATGACATTTCCTTTGGAAAATAGTTCTAAGAAAGTTCACGATGTAGTGAGTTGGAGAGAGGGTTGGGAGAAAAAGGCAAGTCTTTAATACTATGTATAACAATATGGATGGCAAAATCTCATTTTTGTTTCAAACTATAGTTGTAGATTTAAATGTAGATTTAAAAATCCAGAAAGATGCTCCTCAAACTGCTAACAGTGCTGGCCCTGGAGAATGGGTGATGAGGGGTGGAGGGGGTTTTCATCTTATTTATTAATATCTGTATCGTTGCAACATTGCATAAGCAAAAAAATAAAATAGAAAATAATTTTAGACTCATAGCAATCAATTAAACAAAGCAATTCCGGCTTAATAAAAATGGTGTGCTTTATTTTTTTGTTACCTCTCCTCCACTAATTTGTTTTCCCTAACCTCTCAGTAGAAGCAAAAGAAACAAATTCCACTTCCACTTTCTCTCTTTTAGAGCCGTACTGGAGAGCAGTGCAACAGCCAGGGGCAGAGGGAAGATGGGAGAAGGCCTGGAGGAACCCTCTCCTGGCCGGGCATTTGGGTGTGAGTTTGATTGCCTTCTGCTCTCACGGGAGAGGGTAAGGAGAGCCTTCGCCCTCAGTCCTCCGTTAAACCCGGTATGAATCCTCTCCTCCTCGCCCCTCCCAGCAGAAGTGAGCATTTCCTCCTTTATGTCCCACATCTGCTGAGTACTCCGTATCGCTCTGGCTTCTGCTGCAACACTTCCCTCTCTGTTGTTCCCTCCCTGTCCCCTGCAAAACCCACGCTCATGGAAGGCAGAGAACATCCACTTTCAACTGCGCGCCGTCCTGTCTCCGCACAGTGCCCACCACCAAAGCATGCCTGTGGGAGGAAGGAATACATGGAGGATGAGAGGAGTGGGGGGCCGTGGGTCTGTGTTAGGCTTTGACAGGGGCTAACTCAGCTTTTCTTCCAGGGGAATGCTGTCCCTTTCAGAAGGAGACATCACGTACAACCTATCACAAGACAATCTGTTCACTGCGAGCTTCAGTTTCCCTGCGTGGTCCCAATTCCAGCCCCCATGCCTCCCTCCTCCGTGGCATGGCTTCCTAGAGTCTCTCTAGAAAAGAGAGAAAAGCAAAGCCCCCAGGGGTGGCAGTTTCTTGCCCGCATCATGCGGGTCAGGAAAAGACTTTGCCCTGTGCGCTCACAGAGACTTCAGGAGTCCCGTGTTACAGGACCTTTCCCAGCCTTTCGACCCACGTGTCCTCCAAAAGGCGTGTTCAGTAATGGACCGATCCAAAGGCCGCTGGAGGGGACCGTCTGGTATTTGTCCGGTTCAAGGTACAGCCTTCAGTTATCTTAGTCCTCAGGCCTTCTGGTGTCATTTGTCGACACTCCGTAACAGATGGGAGGCAGGGAAGGTTTCTTCCTGGGGGATAGAGGAATTCGCTAGCTTGGCAAAGGGAAAGGCTGCCGTTGCGCCATCATGCCAATGTCACGCTACTGGGAGGAAGTCATGTCAGACCCTAGACTTGGAGACAAAGGCCAGGGGAGGAGAAAGAGGGTTTAAAATCACCCACCCTTCAGTTTATGCCAGTCCCGATCCTTTCCCTTCTCAGTTCCCCGGGCGAGTCCACCATGCAAGTACACCTCCAATAATTGGAAGGACAGGAAGGGGGACATTTTCAAACCACCCTGATTCTTTACTTAGATTCATCCAAGACTGACTCAGAAACATTGTGCCCCTCGTCTGCTCTGCAATGCTGGGTTTAACAACTTCCTGGTAGGAAGCATAGCTGGCTTTCTGAAGCTGGGCCTGTGGTGGAAAGCCTGAGTCTTGCGGTCAGCGTGCACTTCCATGTGCGAGTGTTGATGCAGTGCTTTTTATTTTAGTAAGCAGAAGATACGCTGTCCAGGGAACACCTGTTCCCCACACTCCCAG